AATAATCTATTAGTGTTGAAAAGGGCGTTAAACCCATACCATTTTACCTTTCCCTAGCGGTTTCTGTCCAGCCCCACCACAGCCAACTAGTTTCGCGAATAGTCGGCCTTCAAAACCTGGTCAAAGCGGTGACTTGCTACGAAAGTCTACCTCCAACCCGTTTCCTGACTAAATATGTACTTTCAATCAATGCAAAGGAATCGTTATGACATTTCAATTTTGATGGAAATGCGATAGAAAATGAATTAAAACATTAATTAATGAAGTTTCCAGGTTTTAAACCATCTGTTGTCAAATCTTGAAAGTGATCTTTAAGTCAGACCCTGTGCATAGCGTCCTATGGTCTATATCTCTCATATTTTTCTGTGATCATACGTGATCGTTATGAACAGGTGAGACTGTATTTTAATACACGGTTTTTGCACAGAATAACACTGACGAGACGGCAGCGTAATCCAGTATACTAAGTTTTTATTTCAAATAGACAGGTTCTAATGAGGTCACGGAAAGCTCAAGGACACTTCTTTTCTCATAAGGGAAACTACTGTGGCACGACTGGCTTACCTTTTCTGCTAGAATCGTGCCCTTGATAGTAAAATTACTACTGTAGATAATGACTATTGTGGGGATCTTATGATTATTACGCACTATGAGGCACGATTTATTTTCGGACAGTCTGGAGTTCATCACGTCTGGTAAAGGACGAAAAGAAAAAGAATATCTTTGTTTTATTTGACTTGTCCTCCTTTTGTTTCTATTTATATCTTTTCTGGTGTTGATGTTGTTTGATGTCGTTTTTTGTTGTGGTGTTACTGTTGCTATTCTTTTTTATTATGAATGTTACTGTTGAAGTTGTTGGGTTGGGTTTTTTTCGTGTTGTTTTTGCTGTTATTATTGCTCTTTGTTATTATTTTGTTGTTGTGGTTGTTGTTGATGTTGTTGTTGTTGTTGATGATGATGATGATGATGATGATGATGATGATGATGATGATGATGATGTTGATGATGCTAATATTAACACTCTAGTGATTGTTCTTGTCGTTCTTGATATTTTGTTGTAGTTGTTGACTTTCCTGTTGCTGCTGTTATTGGTGTTGATATGGATGTTGTTCGCTGTTCTTGTAATTAAACTTTTTTTATACCACCTGGTGGATCTCGGCCTCACTCTCTTCCCCCTCCCCTATGGATTATATTTAAGGCTTTCTCTTGTCATACTTTGGGGCTTGCTTTCCCTAAGTGTGTGTCCGATCCACTGCCATCTTCTTGTCTTGATCTCACGGTCAGCTGGTTGCTGTTAGGTTTCAATCCATATTACTACGGTACATTTTTTAAGGTGTGCCACCAGTGGAGTTTCATGAACTTGCTCAGGCAACCAGTGATGAAGGACTGTAGTTCGTTTATCATCCACTTTGATGGTTTCAGTGTATCCTATTAATAAAACAATACTGCTTTAAACATTTATATAGAAAATTCTGCACTGTCGTTGTCTAGATGGCGTCTAGACGTCCACAATGCTAGACTGGACTCTCCACATAGAGACATAGTAAAACCCCTTCCCTCCACATACTAATGGGAGGATTTTCAGGAAATTAGGGTAGGTCAACTCCATGTAATTTTCTCGGTAACCCTGCGTATATCGCGTTCAAATTTTTTACTTAGCTAAAAAAGTGAAAAGTCAGTCGGATGCCGCAGAAAATTATTATGTGATTACATAATCAAGTCCCCCATCTGAATATAACGAGCTAAATAGACAAAAAGAAAAAAAAGAAGCATTTCTGAGCCTAAAACAATGGACAATACCAATACATACACGTTACAAGCTGTAAAAGCACATAGTTCTATGTGGGTTGATGTCCTTTTGTGTCCCTTGAAGCAAAAGGGGTGAGAATGGCAGCGATATACCTCTTACCTCGATCAAATAAACCTTTTACACCTTACTCCAACACCTTATCACTCCACCATACCCAACTCATCCCCCACCCTTCCCATTCCCTTTATCCTTTCGTCTCTCTTATCCCTCCGCCCCCCTTACATTCCCGTATCCCTCCATTCTAAGACTAAGGCTGGCATTCCATAAGCCCGAAAAACCGATGCAAACTTCGGGTGCAAAATTTGCGTACGAAATTCGGGTGCAATGAAAAAAGAGCCCTTCTTCCATATACCCAAAATTTATATCAGCCATTTCTGACTGAAATAATGGCACCGGTTCTGTCAAAGCAAGCACTCTACGTTGAAAACGAGAGAATTTTGCTTTTAGCACTCCTGTTCCTACGAAAGTAGAAATGTGGCGAAAAGATAAAACAACGATTTTGGGTGAATAGTATTTAGCAGTTAAAGCAGCAGCATCGAGTTTACAACATCCTTGTCAAAGAGCTTGACCTTGATGGGGATCTCTTTAACAAGAAATACATGCGACTTACAAGGGAGCACTTTGCATCCGGAACGTAGACTTCTCACTCTCTCTCTCTTTCTCTCTCTCTCGCTCTCTCTCTCTCTCTCTCTCTCTCTCTTTCTCTGTTCTCAGACGAGTAAACTATTGTAAACGCCAACACTTGTTTTGATCAGAACATTCTGATGTTTTAATTTCAACAAACGTAAAACATAGTACGATGCAAAACAATACAAAACAAAACATGGAATGTGACAATCAATCCAACATCTGTGAAATATGCATAGCATTAGTAATGATGTCAGAGGTAGGCCTACTCGGGAAGGCCATGGTTGTTAGAGAGTATGGGGCGATGTCCAGGGTAGGGGGCTGCGTTTTATTTGAAGTCGTATCGTCCGCGACCGATGGCTGGGTAGCTGGAATTGGTGAATGGAAAGACGGGGAGGGGGGGATTGGCATTTTGAGAAACTCTGGATTTTCGGCATTGAATAGAAGGGTGCA